AGGTGGGTGATGCGGGCAGAGAGTGAGGGGGTGAGGTGGGGGGTGGAGAGGTAAATTTGGGTGTCATCGGCATAGAGGTGGTAACTGAAGCCGTGGAAGTGAATAAGTTTGCCAAGGGAGGAGGTATAGATGGAGAAGAGGAGGGGCCCGAGGACAGAGCCTTGGGGGACCCCGACAGAGAGGGGGAGGTGGCAGTGTTGTAGGTGACGCTGAAGGAGCGTTGGGAAAGGTAGGAGGAGAACCAGGAGAGAGCAGCGTCCCTGATGCCAAGGGAGTGCAGTTTAGCAAGGAGGAGAGGGTGGTCAACAGTGTCGAAGGCCGCGGAGAGGTCGAGGAGCAGGAGGATAGAATAGTGGCCATTGGCTTTGGCGGTTAACAGGTCGTTGGTGATTTTAAGTAGGGCGGTTTCGGTGGAGTGCAGGGGACGGAAGCCAGACTGTAGGGTGTCATGGAGGTTGTTATCAGTGAGGTGGGCGCTTAGGCGATTGTAGGCCAGGCACTCAAGGAGCTTGGAAGTGAAGAGCAGCAGGGAAATGGGTCTAAGGTTGTTCAGGTCAGTGGGGTCAAGGGAGGGTTTTTTGAGTATGGGGGTGATGTGCGCGTGCTTTAGAGGGGAGGGGAAGGTGCCAGTGGAGAGGGAGAGATTGAAGATGTGAGTGAGGGAGTGAATGATGGAGGGGGGGGTGACTGGAGGAGCTGTGAGGGGATAGGGTCCAGGGGGCAGGTGGTGAGGCGGGCTTCAGTGAAGACCTTAGAGACCTCCTCGGGGGTAGTTGGGCTGAAGCAGTGGAGTGTTGGGGAGGGTGATGATGTGCGGGGGATTAGGTATAGTGGGGGGTAGTGCGGCTATGAGGTCGGGGGAGGGGGACAGTTGAGGGGTTGAAGGAGGGCGGGAGGCTGGGTGGAGAGGTGGATTGTGAGTTGACAATGTCCTTACGGATTGCGTCAATCTTGTTTTGGAAGTGAGTGGCAATCTCGTGGGCGGTGAGTGAGGTGCTGGGTGGGGTTGGGGGGGGGAGAGAGCAGGGATTTTAAAGTGGAGAAGAGCCGGCGAGGACAGATGGAGAGGGTGTGATAAGGGTTATGAAATAGGCTTGCTTGGCGGCGTGAAGGGAGGTGGTGTAGGCGAGGTAGGCGGCTTTATAGAGGGAGAACGCGCGAGGGGATCTGGTTTTGTGCCATAAGTGCTCCAGCGCGCGACTGCGTCGTTTGAGGCATTTTGTGTGGTCGTTTTGCCACGGTTGGAGCGTTCGGGGTCTAATGCTACGTGTGGTTAGGGGTGCCAGGGAGTCAAGGGCAGCTGACAGCGAGTCATTGTATGCAGTAGTGGCCAGGTCAGGGCATGACAGAGGGAGGATACTGTCATACAGGCGGTCAGCTGCCGGGTGGAGATGGGTCGGGTTCAGATTGCGGAGGTTGCGGGGATGGTTAGACGCTTCGGGAGAAGGGGGGAGTTGAGGGAGGGGGAGATGGAGAATGTGATGAGGTGGTGGTCAGAGAGGGGGAAGGGGGTGTTAGTGAAGTCGTGGGGGGTGCAGAGGTGGGAGAAAACGAGGTCCAGGGTGTTTCCATTGGAGTGGGTGGAGGACTGTGTGTGCTGTGTGAGCGCGAAGGAGGAGGTTAGAAGGAGGAGTTGGGAAGTAGCCGGGCTGTTGGCGTTGATCGGGATATTGAAGTCGCCTAGGATGATGGTCGGTAGCTCGGAGGAGAGGAAGAAGGGAAGCCAGGCGGCAAAGTCGTCTAGGAAGGGGGATGGATAGATTACCGCAATCCGTAGGGGGTGGGAGAGAAGAGCCGGATGCAGTGGGCCTCGAAGGAGGAGAAGGATAGGGAGGGGGGGGTTAGGGAGGACCTGGAAGGTGCTCAGCGGTGGTAGGAGCATATCGACCCCTCCGACTCTGCGTCCGCTCGGTCTGGGTGAGTGGGTCCAGACGAGGCCTCCATAGTAGAGGGCAGCCGGGGAGGTGGAGTCAGTGGCTTGGATCCAGGTTTCGGTGACCGCTAGGAGATTGAGGGAGCGGGAGACAAAGAGATCGTGGATGGCGGTGAGCTTGTTGCAAACCGAACCAGCGTTCAGGAGTGCAACTGAGAGGGGAGGGGTGGATGTGGGGAGGAGGGGGACAGATATGAGATTGAGGGGGTTGCGGTGGTTGGCGTGAGTAGGGGGGTGCCGGGAGGGGGAGTGGGGAGATGGGGGGCCAGGGTTCGGGGAGATGTCACCGGCGGTTAGGAGAAGGAGGAGGGTTTAAAAGGTGGCATGGGAACGGGAGGTGCAGGAGCGCGTGGGTCTGTTGGTGGTGGCATGTGGGTCGGCGGGGGAGTGGAGTATTAGGAAGAGGTGGTGAGAGCCGTAGAGGGGGGAGGGAAGAAGTGAGGGTACAATGTACACCAATGATGGAGCACTATTCCTTCCACTGACACCAATGATGGGGCACTATTCCCCCCACTGACACCAATGATGGGACACTATTCCTTCCACTGACACCAATGATGGGGCAATATTCCCCCCACTGATACCAATGATGGGGCACTATTCCTTCCACTGACACCAATGATGGGACACTATTCCTTCCACTGACACCAATGATGGGGCACTATTCCTCCCACTGACACCAATGATGGGACACTATTCCTCCCACTGACACCAATGATGGGGCACTATTCCTCCCACTGACACCAATGATGGGGCACTATTCCCCCCACTGACACCAATGATGGGACACTATTCCTTCCACTGACACCAATGATGGGGCACTATTCCTCCCACTGACACCAATGATGGGGCACTATTCCTCCCACTGACACCAATGATGGGGCACTATTCCTTCCACTGACACCAGTGATGGGGCACTATTCCTCCCACTGACACCAATGATGGGGCACTATTCCTCCCACTGATACCAATGATGGGGCACTATTCCTCTCACTGATACCAATGATGGGGCACTATTTCCTCTCGCTGACACCAATGATGGGGCACTATTCCTCCCACTGACACCAATGATGGGACACTATTCCTCCCACTGACACCAATGATGGGGCACTATTCCTCCCCACTGATACCAATGATGGGGCACTATTCCTCTCACTGATACCAATGATGGGGCACTATTCCTCTCGCTGACACCAATGATGGGGCACTATTCCTCCCACTGATACCAATGATGGGACACTATTCCTCCCACTGATACCAATGATGGGGCACTATTCCTCCCACTGACACCAATGATGGGGCACTATTCCTCCCACTGACACCAATGATGGGACACTATTCCTCTCGCTGACACCAATGATGGGACACTATTCCTCTCGCTGACACCAATGATGGGACACTATTCCTCCCACTGATACCAATGATGGGGCATTATTCCTCCCACTGACACCAATGATGGGGCACTATACCTCCCACTGACACCAATGATGGGACACTATTCCTCTCGCTGACACCAATGATGGGACACTATTCCTCTCGCTGACACCAATGATGGGACACTATTCCTCTCGCTGACACCAATGATGGGACACTATTCCTCTCGCTGACACCAATGATGGGACACTATTCCTCTCGCTGACACCAATGATGGGGCAGACAGATATAAAAAGACACAAATGAATGCAGCTCTGTAATCAATAATACATACATATTAACCCCTTCCTACTGACCGTACCGATATACACTCACTGGCCACTTTATTAGGTACACCTGATCAATCGTTTGGTAACAAATTGCTAATCAGCCAATCACATGGCAGCAACTCAATGCATTTAGGCATCTAGATGTGGTGAAGACAACTTGCTGAAGTTCAATCCAAGCACCAGAATGGGGACGAAAAGGGATTTAAGTGACTTTGAACATGGCATGGTTGTTGGTGCCAGACGGGCTGGTCTGAGTATTTCAAAAACCGCTGATCTACTGGGATTTTCATGCACAACCATCTCTAGGGTTTACAGCAGGGCGTATTTACCACAAGGCAAACCAGGCATTTGCCTAGGGTGGGATTTTTCAGGTGGGCAGTGCCACCCTCTGGTAAGAAAGGATAGAAGAAGGGACACACGCAGCATGGGGTCCAAGTGGGATCAGAGAGAGTCTGGAGGCTGCTTGACAGTATATGTAGAGCCTGACTCTCATTCCCGAGGAGGTCCGGAGCTGTGAAGGTGATTGTCTTTCTCTCTCTCGCCGGGTGGGGGAAGGCAGTGTATGGGGGGCAATGGTAGAGGAAGGCTCTCTCGGGTGGGGGGTCAGGTGTATTATTGATCAATATCTCAGGCTCTTTCCTCCAGGGGGTGGGGGTGGCGTTGGTCGTTGTCAGACTTTCTCCACAGGGGGATGTGGGGGTGGCTGATTTTTGTGTTGCCTAGGGCAGCACAAAACCTACATACACCACTGATTTACAGAGAATGGTCCGATAAAGAGAAAATACCATACCAAGCCCACAGCCACCCCTCTGTCCAAGTATACCACGTCCACCGCCCCCCCTCTGTCCAAGTATACCAAGTCCACCACCCCTCTGTCCAAGTATACCAAGTCCACCACCCCCTCTGTCCAAGTATACCAAGCCCACAGCCACCCCTCTGTCCAAGTATACCACGTCCGCCGCCACCCCTCTGTCCAAGTATACCAAGCCCACAGCCACCCCTCTGTCCAAGTATACCACGTCCCGCCACCCCTCTGTCCAAGTATACCACGTCCGCCGCCACATCTCTGTCCAAGTATACCACGTCCCCGCCACATCTCTGTCCAAGTATACCACGTCCACCGCCCTCCTCTGTCCAAGTATACCATGTCCACCGCCCCCCCCTCTCCAAGTAAACCAAATCCACCGCCCCCCCCCTTCTGTCCAAGTATACCACGTCCACCGCCCCCCTCTGTCCAAGTTTACCACGTCCACAGCCACATCTTTGTCCGAGTATAAAACATCCACCGCCCCTCCTCTGTCCAAGTACACCCCGTACACCCCATACAATCCGCAGACCCCTACAATCCGCATACCCCATACACCCACACATCCTGTACACCCCATCCACCCCGCACACCCCCCCCACTCACCGCACATTCCGTACACCCCGCACATCCCGTACACCACGCACATCCCGCACACCAGTACACCCGCCACACTCTGTACATCCCGTACACCCCCTACATCCCGTATCACCCCCCTACATCCCGTACACCCTGCGCCTCCCGTACACCCCTCACACCCTATACATCCCCACACACCCCACGTAATCCTCGCACTCCCCGCATACCTTGTACATCCCCGCACGCCCCATACATCCTGTACATCCCCGTAAATCCCGCGCCTCCCGTACACCCCGTACATTGCGTACTCCCTGCATACCCCGTACATCCCCTCACAACCCATACATCCTGTACATCCCCGTACATCCCACACACCGTACATCCCCGCCACCCCGTACATCCCACACACTGCGCACACCCCGTATATCCCCGCACACCCCGTACATCCCACACACTGCACACACCCCGTATATCCCCGCACACCCCGTACATCCCACACACTGCGCATACCCCGTACATCCCGCATACCCTGTACATCCCACACACCGTGCATACCCCGTACATCCTAACACACCCCACACATCCTGTACATCCCCGTACATCCCACACACCGTACATCCCCGCACACCCGTACATCCCACACACTGCGCATACCCCGTACATCCCACATACCCTGTACATCCCCCACACCGTGCATACCCCGTACATCTCACACACACCCTTACATCCCCACACACCCTGTACATCCCACACACCGCGCTTACCCTGTACATCCACGCACACCCCGTACATCCCACACACTGCGCTTACCCCGTACATCCCACACACCGTGCTGGCCCCCTACATCCCCGCACACCCTGTACATCCCACACACCGTCGCACTGACCCCCGTACATCCCCGCACACCCTGTACATCCCACACACCGCGCATACCCCGTACATCCCCGCACACCCCGTACATTCCACACACCGCGCATACCCCATACATCCCTGCACACCCCGTACATTCCCACACCGCGCACACCCCGTACATCCCACACCACCGCGCATACCCCATACCTCCAAGTACACCCACGTACATGCCACACACTGCGCACAACCCAAACACCCTGTACTGCAAGCAGATATACTGATCTGCAGGAGACCTGCATGGCACCAGTGATCTACTGATTGCTGGTGCAATACTTTCCAGGTTCCTGCAGACAAAAATAATAAATGCACATTTTTTTACCTGCAATAATAAATGCACATTTTTTTTTTATTATTTTTGTCAAAAAAAAGGCGAATTTAACCTTTACATTTTTTTTTTTTTTTTTCAGCAAGAACTCATCTCTGTGGTCTTTAATAAACTCTCCAGTATCCTCCCAACTATAGAAGTTACACTAACAGGTCTATAATTACTTGGTAAAGATTTTGACCCCTTTTTAAATATTGGCCCCACATTGGCTTTACACCAATCCAGGGGTACTATGCCAGTCATTAAAGGGTCCCTAAAAATGAGAAACAATGGCTTTGAAATGACAGAGCTCAATTCTTTAAGGCCCCGTGGGTGTATGCCATCTGGTCCAGGGGCTTTATTCACCTTTATACTGTCTAAATATTTCTGGATAGGGATGGGCTTCACGTTCATGTTGAACCTAAGTTCCACTTCAACATGGGCCAACGGTACAGGCGTCCAGTGGGCTATTCACCTGCCACGCCCCACAATGCACTGCAGCCTGACAGGACATTGTGACTGGTCAAGGCAATGCACCTGACCATAGGTCAGGTGTAACGCTTTGACCAATCACAGCACGTGATGACTTCACAAGGGGCCGAGGTGAACTCCGCCCCCTTGTGATGCCATGATAGTATTTAAGAACTGTCATTAGGGGCGCAAGCTGTAAGACAGCGGGAGCCCTCATCGCGAGTGCATCACTTTCTTTTTTCGGAGGTGGGCACGTGATTGACATTGGATCTACTTTCGGGGACTTTTTTATTTTTAATAAAGGATTTGTCAAAGACTGTCTCCTGTCTTTTTTTACACTACACTTTTTTTTTGTGTGAATGGGTAGCGCATACTCATTCACATAGGGGGGGGGGGGGGGGGGACAGGATCTGGGGGCCTTTGTGCTAAAGGGAGCTTCCAGATACCAATAAGCCCCCCCCCCCAGCAGACCCCCACAACCACAGGCCACAGTTGTGGGGAAGAGGCCCTTGTCCTCACCCCGAAAGCATTCCCCCCATGTTTAGGGCATGTGGCCTGGTATGGTTTAGGAAGGGGGGAGCACTGGCTCATTTTACATTTTGGCATGGGGGTTCCCCTCAAAATCCATACCAGACCCGACTTCATAATAGAACTCATGGCGGATTGTAGTAACTGAGCGGAATCATACCACATCCTCAGGTGCCGTAAGATACCGATCAGTAAATTGTTTGGTTCGTGTTCGAAGTTTGCGATTGAACATTCTGTAGGTTCGGATGTTCGACCAGAGAACCGAACAGGGGGGTGTCCAGCCCATCACTATTTCTGGACCATCAGTTGTGAGCCAATGTGGATCATCTGGAGCTGTGTCAGTACCACGCCCATTATGGACAAGAGCCCCCCCCATGCTCCTTTGTATACACAGAGCTGAAGAAGGGATTCCATACATTGGCCTTCTCTTTGTCCCCAGTCACCCCCTCTAGATGATTCTGTAAAGGGCCCACATGCTCGGACCGACCTTTCTACTATGAATATATTTGATGAATGTTTGGGGGGGTTTAGCCCGCCATCTTTTGCAATGTGTAGCTCATTTTGAATTTTTGTGGCCTTCATTTCATTTTTACAAATTCTGTTATATTCCTTGTAGTGATGATAATGTTCCTTCATTTTTAAAAGCTCTTTTATTATTTATAGCTATTAAGTAATATTTACTAACATGACACAAAATATTACTGACAGACTTTACTGCCACAACACATAAAATTTACTGACAGAGTCACATTTTTACAGACCGTTCACGTCAAACACAAGTCATCGCTGGCACAGCTGTCAGACAGCCGGGAGCCAGCATTGGGAGCAGAGCTGGTATGTTCTCCCCCTTGGGTAGCGGCGGCAGCGGGCATCGTAATTGATGTTCAAATCTACTTTGAGGAACATTTTTTTTAATTTTAAATAAATGACTTGTCAAAGACTGTCTTCTGGCTTTTTTTTTTTTTTTTTTCCACACTACTTTTTTTTTTTTTTTTTTTTTTAATGAATGGGTTGCAGTACCATGTACCATATACTCATTCACATGGGGTGGGTGGGAATTGGGGGCCCCCCCAGATGGTTCATGAGGAGGGGGGGGCAATCCCCTTACCTGCCAGGCCACATAATCGGATAGGGGTCTGGTAGGGATTTTGGGGGGGGAACCCCCATGCTTTTTTGAAATATTGGTGTGGAGATTCCCCTCAAAATCCATACCACACCCAAAGGGCTTGCTATGGATGGGAGGGGGGAACCCCATGCCATTTTGGAGAAAAAAAAAAATATTTTACTTGTCGGATTATGCTGAGAATTCTTTTTACATTCAGCTGTCAGCAGGGAACCCCACTGACAGCCGAGACATGAATGAATGTTTCACTAGTAAAATACCGCGTGACCCAATAATACAACTAATAGAACTGCCCGTATTTTAGTAACCGAGCGGCCCAAATTTGTTTTGTAAGGTGAATTAGTTCACATAGTTGTATTTCAACTGTGTATTCAGCAGTTCCCATATAATTTACCTGGTAAATGAAGAGTAAGGCTACGTTCACACTAGCGTTGTGTGCAGGCGGCAGAGAGGAGTTTTTAAGCTGTTACTGCTTCCCAAACGCCTCTGCCAATTCTACACATTGTGCTGTTCTAACGAGAGGTTGAGTCAGGAGGCGTTGAAGCCTCCTATTCTAGTCTATGGTGCCGCTCCGCAAACGCCCGGCTTTTGCGGTGCGGTTGCGGAGCGGTAACACCATTCAAACTGCATTATAGGCATTTGTAACGCTCGGCAAACGCCTAGCAACCAATGCTAAACCGCACATGTGGCATTTGCAGAGTGTTAAAAAAACCCTCCGCAAACGCCGGACCAATGCTTGCCAAACGCTATAGGGGCGTTTGGCAAGCGTTGGTGAAACAGCCAAATGTGAACGAGCCCTAACCCTCTTGTTTTTGGATTTGAGTGCTTTCTGTTTTAGGGAGGCAATGCTGTACTCATAGATTGAATAAACTCAAACTTTTGCAAAATAACCTTAGACTTTTTTTTTTTTTTTAAATAACACACCAGTTGATAGAAAAAAACTTTTATTTAGAAAACATTTTATGTAATATGTGCAAGATAAAAAAAAAAAAAAAAACAAAAAAAAAAAAAAACCACAAACTTACTTTTGTCGCACAGAAAATGGGAATTAGCACAAAATATTGGTCCTCCTGTCCAGTGGCCCCTATTTTATCTCTAGAGCCCTCTTCTCCATAGGTAGCCCATAGATGAGTCAATTCCCCCACCCCCATTCAGCCAGCTGGGTTGAACAAAAAAAAAAAAAAAAAAAAAATTTTTTTTTGATTCCCCCATCCACACATTCAATGTTAATGGGGTAATCCTCCCCCTGAACTATTGTACTCTGATAGAGAGGAGATTTACACGGTCAGAATACACTGATTAGCATTGCAGGCTATAGCTTCAGTGCTGATAAAGTGGGGAAAATTTTGACAAAGCAGATCGGTAGATCGAGTTCTGTGCAACCACAGTGCCATACGTAGATCGAAATTTGGCTGGTTCCTTCTAAACTGGCCAAATTTCAATCTATGTATGGCCAGCTTTAGTAAATGCCACTACCTCCAGAACCACTCCAGAGAGTGGTTAGTGTTATCTCCAGAACCATTTTCTCTCCAAACGGTCCTTTCCCAATCAGTCCGGTGTTCTCTCCTTATCTCCAAACCCATTTTATCCTCGGTTATTTCTAAACAGTCCTGTGTCATCTCCAGAAACCTCTCCTTGGTCCTTTAAAATCAGTCCTGTGTCATCTCCAGAAGACTCCT